TTTCTAAACTAAAATCTGGTCACGATCAGACAATAATTCATGTCTCGATACCTACCAATTTCAATGCGACAGCATCATTCGAAATTTAGTTTCACGCCGCCGGGACCCAAACCATAGGGCACCATTTTTCGGGAAGCCCCAAATATTAATTTCAAATAATAATAATTTCTGCCGCTGATAACACAGAAAACCTTTCATAGGAAACTTCTGCAATATTGAGGATTGAATAATGTGGAATATTTCTGTACAGAATTTCCTGCGGAATTTTTCCTCTCAATGCGTTTCCTATTGTTCCCTGTCAATGACTTTTCGATTTCATGGCCACTTGCAGATTGCACCAACTACCTAATTTCTTCCGAGTGAATACTGGTTTCTTTCATAAGTTTGGTTTGGTCTAAAGGAAAGGACCAGCCAAAGTATACGGAAATTGTGTTTATGTCAGAATTGGCTGAAGTTTGTGTGTAGATCACGCCTTTCTTAAAAGTTACCATTGCTCCAATCCTGAAAAGTGACTCCATGTAGCACACCATACTGCGCCACAAGCTCTCCTATTCGTGCTACATTGCACGTCCATTACAATGTCCAAGCGTTTTACTTGCTACCGATGAAATTAGTTTTCTCAAAAAGAGGTCATTTTTCAGGATTGATGCAATGGGAACTTTCAATCAGGAAGGTGTGATCTACATTATATACAAAATTCAGCCAATTTTGACATAAACACAATTTCCGTATACTTTGGGCAGGGTCCTTTTCAGCTTCATGGGTTTGCCATCTGATGAACTAGTGCCTGATTGAATGATATTGAAACTCCCTTTGATTATGTCGAATTCATAACGTTCATTCCAATATGGTATTATTGAAATTGGTCTGCTCAAAAAGCAGCTCAGACAATGAGAAAGGCTTCATTCTTTCAAAATAATAGCCGACTTCCTATTACATTACCATAATACTCCAAATACTGTCACAGACTCGGCTCCAGATGAATATGTACTGAAGATAACATAAAACCCAGAACAAGATTTAATTTTTGTAACTGGATTATAATTCTAAGTCTCAGATAGTTTTAGTTCGTAGTAGTACATGTTATAAGTGTTACCAATGATCCAGTATAGAGAAACATAATAGGGATAATAGCTAATTATTCCACATATATTTAGTCATATACAAGAATGATGTACAAAACAAAATAGTAGGCAAGATTGGATTGGTCTATATTGATAGCATTCGTAATTTTTTCTATTACAAAGATTTGAATATGACGACAAACATGAATTTTCTTCTGATTCTCTCTAACAACATTACAAAACCTGACGTTTCTGATCAGACTCAGCAGTGTAATATGGTGTTTATGAAAGAGTATCACTACCAGCACAAAGGAGGCAATCGACAGAACTTTCCAAGTGACGTCTACCTTTTTTACGTCTACCTTTTTTATTGTGTTCAAGGATTCCTAGATTGAAATCAGTGTTTGAAACACACAACAAAAACATTTAATAATGCCCATAAATAGAGAAGTCCAGACGAAAGGATTACAACAAACATGGTACTTAGTTATACAAATTGGATAAAAATAATATCATACCGAAACATTGACTTTCCGAACTTGCTAGGAAATATAGGGTGTATCAGGTTTGACTACAAGAATTTCAACACGTGAAAATATGGCCTATTTCAAACAAAAAAAGGTTATACATGGGATCTAAACGCACCCTTCTTATGGGATTTTAGGATTCGGTCAATTTTTCTGAAAATTTGATATTATGCTCCTCTCAAGATTCTGATTAAAAGTGCTTATAACCACAACTTGATCCTATGACTAGTTTTCGAGATACAGGTAGTTTAATGTCCAAGAAATGCACAAATTTTATATGCATTTACATCTACCTGTCACCTAATTATACCAGGATTGACAGGTATCCCCACGCTCAGGTGACAGGTAGATGTAAATGCATATAAAATGTGTGCATTTCTTGGACATTAAACTACCTATATTTTAAAAACTAGTCATAGGATCAAGTTGTGGTTATAAACACTTTCAATCAGAATGTTGAGAGGAGCATCATATCAAATTCTCATGAAAATTGACCGAATCCCAAAATCTCATAAGAGGTGTGCGGGGTCCTTTGTTGACGAATATTTGAAAGATAAAGAAAATTGTAATCATTATGAGATCTGAGACAATTAATTTCATTTACTTAATTAGTAATTATGCATTTTTAGTCAAAAACAATAATTAAAAATTAAAAAAATATCATGACAATGTACCTACTCGTAATTCATTCTTAACAACTTGTTTAAAGAGAATCGTTAAAAAATGCTCATGAAGCCGCCATAATTCACAGGGAAAGATTTCCTCATAGTACGGCACCCAATGAAAAAACAATGATTGCAAAGATTGCGTGATACGGGAAGTGTGAGTGTGCAAAATGTTAATCGGAGTCCTGCAAGCCAAATGAAACCTGCCGATAAAGAACAGATTTTAGCGACAGCGATAGAAGATAACCCCTTGAATAAACACTCGATCCCAGCTAGATATTCCCACTCAACAGTTCATCGCAGCCTCCGACAAAATTTGCTTCACCCATATCTTGTATTAACTCTAGTTTGTTGTTGGGAACTTTCTGCGCAGTGCAGGAGTTAAAAAATATAGTCCTTATTCAATATAAGGTTGCGTGCGAATGTTATATTGAGGGATTTCGATGGCACGAGACATATTGGGTGAAATGGAAACAGCAACCCTTAAGTTAGGAAACTGTTTTCTGCGCTTTTCGTTTTTGGTGGCAAGAGTGGTAGTTTCCAGTAACTCTAATACATTTTCTTTCAACTCATAGAACGTATGTACAACTAGTGGTGGAATAATAGATGTGGAACAGTTTTGAAAGTTCCATCAGCATATCAATGGCAGCTTTATGAAAACACTTGAAAATGGTATGCTAGGAGACTTTTGGTCATACCGCCATCTAAAACTTGGATACAGCACTAAACAAGATTTTGCTTGGGGTAACCCCCAAATAGGAAAAACAAATTTTTCCTATATACAGAGAATGTGAAAATTTGGGTTAATTTTTCTCGCTTTTCCATCCACGGACGCGTTTCAATCTATCAGATCACATCAGTGTGTCTAGGAAAACAAAGGAAATTAACCCAAGTTTAGTGCCTGTAGGCAAACTGGAAACAGTATGCTGAAAGACTATTTTCACACTTGAAAATAGAATTTAAAAGTTTTTGATAAAAATACTAATGCATTTTTAAAAAATACCCCTATATTTTGTGCATATCACACTCGCTCTCCAGAAAAAATCGGGTCTTCCTACCTAACACGCCACATATTAATACCAAAAAAAAAAAACATTAAAACATCCCTCCAACGATACACGCGACGATTTCCTCTATTGATCCCCGAGATTGTCAATCTAATTGCTTTACTTCGAAAGTTTGATGGGGTAAATGGACATTAGGAGGCTCTGATTATATGATGACCAAACAGGAAACGCGAAGCACGCATATGGTTGGCTACCGATAATAGTAATAGTTTTTGTTACTTACATTGGGGTGCCGTATACTTTTGGGAATTTAAAATTGCATATGTTGTTGATAAATTTATAATAATAATTGGTAAATATGTTACATGTTATCTTCGACATGTCAAATATTACCCCAGGTGAGTATAGAGTTACAAACTTAGAATCTCATACTGATTTTTATCAGTCAAATCTACGGACTCTGCTATGATAATGCTGGAATTGAACAAACGTTATGCGATTCAAGTTATTAACATATGCATTCCTCAGAAAATTAAGATGTAGATTGTAGAACAACTGTATGATGAGATAGGCGGCGCAAAACAAATGTTTAAAACGCACTTCATGGCCATTAATGCAAAGATTAGAAGAAAGAAGCTTAACGAGTCTGATTGCTTAAATAATAGTCTTCCATAAATCTCCTCAACCGAAATAGACTTTGCCTGATTCCGATTAATCCGATTAGTGTCTTGGAGCTGAGCCAGCTAGGAAAATCCTGCCAATATCATTAGCAATTTAATTTTTAAATCAATTAAGGAAAAACTATCAAACGAAAACATTACGAAAGAGTCCAAGGATCGATAAATAAAATTATCGCGTGATCCAACCCCCCTCAATCGCGATAAGGGGGATGTTCCAATGTAGGTAAATAACATCAAGCACCGATGACCAGACGTACACGATTCAACTAACATAACTAAATCCAACCATCGGTGCCCTGTAAATTAGTCACACTAGGGCGTTAGGTTTGTTGCTATTAAGCGAGGTTAGGAACATGAGAACAGATGTACAAAAAGATTCTTTATATGATATGGATTGTTGTTTGGTTCAATATCAACAAGGCAGTCTTCATTACAGTTTAAATGAAATTGTTGTTTTTCGAGAACCAGAAGGGTATTCGAATGAGAAAAAATGGGTCCTTCACTTACCTTTCTGGTGCACAACATTATTTGGCATCCAACTTGTTTAAACCTCGAGGATTGTTTTCTACAATTGAATAACTAAAATTCAAATTAATTTTTGAGGTATAGGTTGCAGATGTTACTCATAGAATGTTACAGTAAAAGACGCCTATTTGATACTTCAGGACACACTTTATTCATAGTTTTATAAATTAACACAAACTGACACATAGAAAAGTCCATGATAGAATTGGAGTCAACTTGCTTAAGCCTAGAACCAAGGGAATGGATTGGGAGAGTCAAAACGGTCCAGGAATATAGCCGACAGAATCTTTCTTGTAAATCTATGTTATATTATGGAGCAGAAGACTCGGACTCAGATGATCCATCCATCCCTGCACAGAACTAACCTCATTCAGCTACCAACTAAGATTTCTTCAAGTCACTTTTCAAGGAAATGAAAGATATTTGTAAAATGTTTCTATTCATTCACACAGTGTATTACAGAATATTTTAAAGGAATACACATCTTACATCTTTACCAAGTTACTTTAACTTTATATTCTTGTTGTTTCAGCATGCCAAGAGTGGACATGCTGCCCCAGCACTACGAAACTGCATCGAGCGACTCGCCTCCGCGCTCGCCCCCTTGCAGTCCTGCTAGTTCCAGTCCGGCGGCGGGAGTTTCGAGTCGGAGCGTCAGTCCCGCCTCGTCCGACGTACCGATTATACCGCGTCACAGTGCGTTTTCTCTAGTCTATCCCAAGGATATTAGCAGGGCGAAAGGATACCTCAGCAGTAAGAATTTTTTGTTTATTTCACTTTTTTTGTCAACCATTCATCTATGCAAAAGCAATATGTAGTTGTGTTGTTAGAGCAAAAGTAGAAGCTTCCCAATATAAAACTCGATTTATGTTTAGTATTGGAATTTGTTTATTGTGAACAACTTAGGAATTTCATCCATTGCTTAGAACAAGCGGCGGTTCCGAAATACAGGGTGATCCAGAGTAAATTTCCCTTTTCTGCCGCGCCCTGTACATTCAACTTAATATTTGTGGGGGGTTAGCGCTGGCAATTGGCGGCAACTGTGGACTGTATACGTGACGCTCTATCAAAAAAAATATTAAAATCGTGGGCTCAAAGATTCAGACAAAGTGGCAAATCAGAGGCGTCCCGGCCAACAGAAGTCCATCAGAACGTGAACAGAAAATATTGAAATTATGCGACGTGTTGCGACTCAAAATCCGAGGCGCTCAATTGGAAAACATGGCCGGGATTGAATGAGTATTTGCTAACAGACTTGAAGTTTTTGCCATTCAAATTTAAATTGTGACGAATGAATCTCTGTTAAAGCTTTCCCTGTAGAAAATTCAACAAGAATGAATCGTGAAAAATATCTTTAGTGCCGAGTTCTTTTCCTGATGGTACCGTGTCACTATATAGACATCTGTACGGCGTGGTTGACATTAGGTGCACAGTCTAAAATTATTGCATACTAGTTATGTCCACTTGTTTAAAATGTATGCTCTTTTATCTCCAATCTCAACATTTCAATTATTTGGTTCTGGGTATAACGAAAAATACCAATAAAGTAGAAGTAGAGATGAAAGTTTGTTCATGGAAACAGAATTGCAGAGAGGAATCAAGTAATCTTAAGCTAACTTAAGATGGTGGGATTAAGTTAAGCAGACCAAGTGCCTCTTCCATGTATCAGTGCTACTATTTTCTCAATCTTGGCAGCCTTCCAATAAGGAAAAAAGAGCAATTGAGTTTATAAATCCAGAAAATGTTTTCATATGGGACAAATCAATGTGTTTTTAGTGATAAAAAAACAATCACATAATACATACTGACTTGAAAATGATCCTATATTCCACTTCAATTTTAATTTTCATCCATAGTTTATTTTTTCCCACGATAGATTTTTGCATTGTCAACTTTGAAACATAAACAATGCCGCTAATGCCGCTTATTGGTCGCTATTGTAAAACTGATGTCAACCTGCAGAAACCCCTCATTTTGCGACCAATCACGGTAAAGCGTTATTGTTTATGTTTCAAAGTTTTCATTGCAAAATCTATCTTGGGGAAAAATAAAGTGAAATGACTTCTTATCAACACTTGGATTCTGCTTCATCATCAGTGTCGAAATCAACATAATCCAAATTACCAGGATCCTTGAATTCAATTTTTTCTAATTTTCAGGACGCCAAATTCTATACCCTTTTGACCCTGTAGAGTACGTAATCCATAAGAATACCCCTGTTTGCTCGAGTTTCAAATTTTCTATTTTCAGGCACTTTGTTCAAACTTGCTTATACACATTGAAAAACTCTCAAAATTCTTAAGACCTGTTACTTTTCCAGTCTGCATTCGATAGGGAGTTTTCCCAGTTAAACTTCTTGTAGAACATCTACTAAATGTTATGTATTTACGAAGGAAAATTCAAATGCAAACTTTAACAAACCATTTACTAGACTTTACCGTCTACCGTGACTAAAATAAATACAAAACTACCCTTCCTTTGTTCATGCCCATAACCAACCCCCAACCTTCTGTCTGCCATTTTTCATACCCTGTTCACACTAATGGTAAACTAAAATGACAACCAGCAGAAGGCATGTCCATTAAATACCAAAACTCCAAATTAAATACTAGAAACACTAAATCTAAATATTGCACTAAGAAGATAGGTAGTTTTCGGTATTTAATTTTCTTGCAGTGTCAAGTAGGGTTCGATTTTTACACTCCATCGTATGGTACCAGGTACAGTCAATTTTCTCGTAATAGGTACCATGTTCTCTCAGGGGAATATCAATGTTTTTTAAATGAATTTTATTCCATTGGCTGATGGAATTACTCTTTTTCATTTCCAATTTTCCAAAAATTGTAAAACTTTTGTGTTTTTTTAAACTTCTGCTTTTGATTTATTAAATCTGACTCTGACACACCATCTTGCAAAATCGTCAATAAATTCTACATGGTATCGGTGGTTTTAATGGTACACCAGGTCCAAGATCTCACTTTTCGTTTCAGAAAATTTTAGAAATGATGCTTTGCTAATCTTACTTGTGTAGCATACCTTTTTCACAATCTAATTCGTCTAGATACTGTTATTTCAACTTCTGGTCTGAACATATTACCATTTCCCAGAGCAGAAACTATGGTTATTCATATATTCTTTAACATTTCGATAGAAAAGCAGAATTATAATCAACTTCACATTTTTGTGATTTGTGATTCAGAGACAAAAATAAAATTCCCTATACATTCTTCTACTAGGTAATTTCACGTTACCATCTTCGTCATAACCAAAAACATTCTCTTTCCAGTTTATTAAATTTATTTCGCAGTAATTTCTGGTAATGATCTGGTCTGTTGAGTTCAATGTTCCATTGTAGCCATTATTTATTTCAGTAAAATTACTTGTGTTACTAAAATGTGACTCCACTATCAAAGAAGCTTTATTTTTTTCCTTTTGTCCTAATTTATAATGTTCCATGCATACAAAATTGCATTGCCAACAGCCTGTTGATACTGATACAAATTATTGTTTGTAAACTTACATTCACTGACCTTATGGCCTCTTTTTCTACATTTATGACATAGGGACCGGAAAGACTAAACAGTTTTATGGTTATTTCTGATTAACTTATCATAAGTAGAATAAAGTTCGAAAATAAAAGTTTGGTTTTTCTGAATTTCATGTTAACGAAATGTTTTCCTTTCGAGCCTCTGGAATAGACTCTATGCCAGTTGTAGCAGAAATAACCCACAACATGTTTAGTTTTTATTATTTCTAATTTAATATATCTCAATTTCTATTATTTACCATAAAAATATTCTAAAAATAGATGCTATTGCTCGAATATTTATCCTGTAAAACCGGCAACAACAACCCTTTGATCCTTCTTTGAACCAATAAAATTACAGGTTTCTTCATTATCTTATAAGGCAGTGGACCTTCCTCGCTGCTGTGATTGGTCAGCCGCCACATGCCACATTGTTTTCTAGTTTTTTGCGACCTGCTCCCTGGCAGAGCTAGTCGACGCTCATTCTTCAGTACTATGAGAATAAGCGAAGAGTTCGCACCCTCGCGCCCTCTGAATGCTCTCCAGTAGCAAAACCCCCAAAAACCCCCGTTAGTACGCTCGATTTACAGTAAAATACTACTCTCTGTGTCTCAAGGCCTGACATGGTCTATATTATTGATTACAATTCATGTAATTAACCCCTAATTGTTGCAAGTCACCTCGAACGAGCAAAATTCTCTCCTAGACGCGATTGTCTTTGGCTCTCTCTCGTTGTGTTTTCTTTTCATCTGAGTGGAAAATTCCCTAGCTGCCAGTGTGAATAGTGGTGATAAATGGATAAATAATCGCCTTGTGGATTTATATGCATGAATCGGATTAAGCAAGTAAGACCGTTACAATTTCTCTAACAGTCAAACAATAAATACTGATTTGTGATTCACTTTTGTACATTTGTGTATAGAAACTCAAGGATCAATAAACATTTTGTGATTGCAGTGAACTGATTGAAGTTGACGAATTATTTATGTTGTGCTCTCGTGCATTTAATTAGGTAATTTGTGTTCTCGTGCATATTATTATCTGCATTATCAGATTTCCCTATTTTTTATAAATCAAGATACTCATTTACTTTAGATTATCTAGTATAAAATTTGTAGTTCGACTGGACGTCCAATTAGAAATTTTTAGCTAGGATTTGATTGCTGACTATACAGAATTACTTTCATTTATTAATTAAATTGATAATTATTTTATTTCAGCGTTTTATTTGTATAGATGAGAATCAAGGCACCCCTAACCCAATACAAGGCTTAAATGATCCAACACCTAATGGGTAATTTTTATAGTCAGTCAAAGTAAAAACTTTTGGCATCCCTGGTGCGGTTTGACTAAAACCCAAAAAGGGGCAATAGCTAGTTCCGTCACACCAGTTCCAGTAATAATAGTTTTATGCCAATTTCCAGAGGTTTGACAGAGATATGAAGGGCCATTCCACCAAAGTGTGGAATTTTGTAATAATTGAGGGTTAGGACCGAGACTCAAAATGTCAGCAGGATTCTGATCAGTTTGTACGTGCCTCCATTGAGTGTTTTCAGTTAAACGCTGAATTTCAGCTACACGAGCTACACGATTGCTAACAAACATTTTCCAATTACTCGGCTCCTTGTCTAACCATGCCAGAACAATAGAAGAGTCTGGAATATGTTGTTTGCTCGATTGAAATTCTTAAAGTGGATTTGACTCAATGCATGAGCTGAGCCAATAGATGAGCGTCAGGCAGTTCTAACTTAGTTATGGTTAAATTGGAATTTAGAGGCGAAAGTCGACTCTTCGCGCAAATAAGATTGGAACAAATTTGACCTTCACCATCTAGATGAGTCAGATAGATTAAGGGACCATAGATCGTTTGCGAACTATCACAAAACTCGTGTAACTGGATGTTCTTTGAAATAGAAGACAACAAGACACATCTTGGAATTCTAATGGAATGTATCGACGCTATTTATTCAATGAAGTCCAGCCAAGAGGCTGAAATATGCCCAGACAAATTGTCGTCCCAATCCACCTTGATTTTCCAGATTTCTTGTGAAATTAATGTAACTCTTACAATAATAGGATCAAATAACTGTGCTACGACTGCTAACACGGTTCTCTTAATTACACTGGATTATCCAAAATAAGTAGAAAAAACGTAAATTGAACTATCATCCTTCGGATTTCAAAATATACCCAATGTTTTGATCTCCTTTCCACTTTTGATTTGAAAAGGCATTTCGTTACCGATAGCAGCCAAAAAGCTAACATGATTAGACATCCACTTCCGCAGATTTAACCTTGATTTTCACAAAACATGAGATACCTATTTCGTTTTTCAACTGATTAGCTATTAGCTACTTCAGAGTTATGTTACAACCAGTGATGTATTGTAGAAGTCATTAATGATAATATCCATTAGAAATATAGGAATTTTCAAATCGATATGCTACTCCAATATTGTTCAATACCCTGGTAGCCAAAAATGAGCTGGGGGTAAGAACATAAACTACTGTATTCAATTCAAAATGCTTTATAATTTGCGAGAGATGTTCTCGCCATAAAATACGTTGGAAGGATCGATCATCTTCGTGTACCAAGATCATACGGTACATCTTCTCAACATCTGCTGTCAAAACGACTGGATTAGTTCGCATGCGCAGAACTGTATGTCAAATAAATCGTTTTGAACCTTAGGACCGGTTTTTAATACTTGGTTCAAAGTAAGTCCTAAGCTGCTTTAACTGCTGCTATTAAATAACACCCTCAACTTAGTGGTTTCACTAGATTCTTTGGATATTAGATGGTCCGGAAGATAATTACAGGTCTTCCTGTGGATTCAAAACAGATTCTATTGTAGCAAATCTAGCAACTGTACTAAATGTCTCATCATAATCTTGATATTTCTTCTGTGAATAACCTTTTGCGACTAGTCTGGCTTTAAATTTATCTAGAGAGCCATCTAGAATGTACCATTGAGCTTTCCTAAAGTCCAAACACAGTTCTCCTCTAAAGACTTCATGTCTCTTCTCATAGCCATGTTCCAGTCATTTGCTATATTACTTCTCGGTACGTAAATGGCTCTTTTATTTCCATAATGTCTGCAGCAACCATCATAGCGAAATCTTCAAACCTGGCAGGCTTTTGTATCTGATTTCTATCTCTCAGTTGTGTACTCGGTACATTTGGGACTTTTCTGAAATGTCATTATCTGGTGATTCTACTAAGAAAAAGAGTGTCAGAAAAACTGTGATTCCCCAAACTATCATCTTCTTCGTCGTCTTGTCTATTGTTTTCTTTAGTTTCTTGTTCTGGAGTACCTTTCCTGCTTCTGACAATCTTACATTTGTTTTGCTGAGAAGTTCCAACAGGGTCTTTCAACAATGGCAACGTTGAAGTTATGAGTTTTTCGTCGAATATCACATCTGACTAGTTTCTTAGATTCTTCACACCAAATCCGATATCCATCATCTTGATCATATCCTATAGTTATGCCTTTCACTGCCTTTTTATCAGTTTTTCTTCTTCCTGACTTTGGAACATGGGCATAACAGGATGTTCCAATAATTCTCATGTGTTTTGAAGAAGGCCTTCTCTCATACCTACCACAGTTCGAATGGATATTTTCCTTCGATACTAAAGTTACCAGTCCTATTCAAAATGTACGCCGATGTTTTTATTATTTCAGCCCAAAAAAGTTGTAAAAGATCTTCATTAGTATGCATGGTGATCTAGCAGTTTCAACGATATATGTATAAGGCATTACGAGTCTCTGTTTGATTCCACTTTCTTGTAGAATTTTTCTTACTTGACCATTGTCAAATTCTTCACCATTATCTGAGAGTAGCTCTTTTACTGTGTGTCCTACTGTTTTTACTTCAGTTAACATAATTGTCAGTTTTTACGCAACTTCAGATTTTTCTTTCAGAAAGTAAACATAACGATAACGATAACGACTGAAATCATCCTTGAAGAGCAAGAAGTATATATAGCCACTTTTAGATTTTTCAAAAGGCCCACAAACATCTGTGTGAGAGTTCTCCTGGTACCTTTGCTCTTTCTCTTGTTCCAAACTTTTTCCTGTGCATTTTACCATAAATACAACCTTCACATATTTCGCTGTCTAAGGTCACTTTGAGGTCAAACTCACCACTCAAAATATATCTGATGTGTCTTTTGTTTTGATGACCAAAGCGTTCATGCGGTATAGTTGCAATAAGTTATCATTTGAAACTATGCTGATTTGAGCTCTTTCCTTTGACTTTATGATTTGCAATGCTAGTTATTACAGTCCTCCAAATCTACTTCTTTCACCTGTCAGTATGGTTTTACCACCAACTATACAACTCCATTTTTCGGTGCTTGAAGTGAACTTTGATGTAGGCTGTAAATCTTGCGCATGTAAAACCGAAAATAAATTCTTTTTAATCAGAGGAGCGTACCATACGTCTGATAACGTCAAAACATCTTCTCTGTCTTGAACTTTTGTTTGTACCAGAATGTTCCCTTTTCTAACTGCTCTAAACGTTTCTCCATTCGCTGTCATTATGGTGTGTGTATCTTGAAAGTATTCAAATGTTTCAAAGATATCACCTCGATTTGTATTTTGATTTGTAACCCCATTATCCACAAACCAGCTATTATATACTCCTGACATTCGCTAAATAAGACACTACTTGTTAAGGCAACTAACATCATGTTTGTATCCTTATCTTTCTGTGTTCTGTTATTTCTTGAATTTGAGCTCTCCGGTTTTGGAGGTCTACCATCTTATTTCCACTTGATACATTTTTTGACCTTATGACCTTCTCTTTTGCAATAATTGCAAACTAGTTGTTTCTTATTGTTCGAGCTGCTTCTCTTTTTTTTGCAAGTAACTCTTTCTGATGACTTTCATTACTCTTGTCTGATAATACCTTCTCATGAGAACAATGCTGATTTGTTAAATTTTCTATATTCCTGTCAGATTTCGACTTTACCATCCAGCTTGACTTAAAGGAGAAGAAGTCTTGGGGTAGAGTTTCTAAAATCTTACAGACTAACAGCAGCTCAGGTAACTCACAATTATACAGGTTTTATTTGTAATAATTTTGTCTTTTGATAACCCCTTTTGCAGCTCATTCCACAGGTTCTTGAGGTTTGACGTGTGCGTTGCCATATCATCTTCAACTTTCTTCTTATAGTTAAAGAATTCTAAGCAAACATCATAGATTTTGTCCTCAACATTGCCATCAAAGATCTTATTCAATTCAACCCACACTTCTCTTGCTGTAGAAAACCTTATAACTTTTTGTAAGGTATCTTGGATCATATTTATCGTAAGAGCAAGAAGTGCATTACAATCTGCAGTTTTGAAATTCACCAGGCTTGCTTTATGCACAGCAATTTCAACTGCTAACGCATTTTTTTCCAAAACTGGGAGCACCAACTTTCCTTCCAAAATATCAACTGCATTTGGAATACTTTTCAGAAGAATGTCCATTATGTACTTCCATGTGGTCCAATTAGCTTTACCTTCCAGTAACCGTATATGAACTTTGCTTGGATCCATCCTTCAAAATTCAATTACTACTTTTTCGTACTAATTCAGCCCTTGATATTCTTAATTTTTCTCGCCTCTTTTAATGCTCTGCCACCATGTTAAATTTTGAAAAACCATGATTCTAATTAAGAGGAAAATACGACATATATTTGACACACTAATAATAAGGGCCAAATTATGGACTGACTGGTAAACGTCTGGTTGTTACCTAACAGGTACTTTCTATGCATTAGAGAATAGAAAGTACCTGCTAGATAACAACCAGACACTTGCCAGTTGGTCCATAATTTGGCCCTGATACAAAAGTTATTAATTAATTAATACAAATCTATGTCATGCACCTTTTTAAAATATAAAAATAAATGACTGGTCTTAAGACTTCCATAGAGATGTGGAATGTTCTTCAACAGAGGATTGTTGGAAAGTCATTTCTCTGTTGGTTGCTCAATTTGATAGGTATCATCTAAAGTTTGAAAATTATCCTAAAAGGTAATCTTCTATGTATCGTCCGGTATAGTGTCTCGCATGATATTTTGTCTAAAATGAATTTCGCACTCAAACTCTTTGGTGGTTAACTTATTTTGATCAGACTGTATATTCTCTCAGAATTTCTGAAAAGAATTATGCAAACTGTTGGTCGAAAAATGACATAGAGAACTAGAACTCTGATTTAAATGTACTGAATATAAAGGACCAGGTAAAAACCATCCTATTTAGCTTTGAGTTTTGAATGAGAGCCCTATTAAGCTCCTAACTTAATATATTGAGGTTCGAGCAAGTCATAAAACAAATTGGTACCTATTTAAATGTCGATATTTTGACATTCAAAAAAATGAAGATCAGCTAAGGACTTTTTAGAAAATCGGGATTCAACGAGAGCGGAGACAATTTTGCAGTGACTTTATACAGGACTAAGAAATATATCCTTGTCCTGTAAGAATGATTCATTGAATGTAGCTCTGTTGTTAATGACTTATCAATCCTGACTGCCGCCAGGTTAATGCCATCAACAGTCATATTTATGTGTTGCCCTTTGATTTTTAATATGTTATAGAATTCAGTGGTACAAAGATTGTTCATACTACCCGAATCTAACATGGCTCTGCATTCCCCCAAGTTCCTTGGCGATATGGCGCCGTGGGAATCACACACTTGAAAACCGTAAAGGCGCGTATACATTAAATTCCCTTTAAAATTGGAATTGAATGTAAACGCACTTTGACGGTCGTCTAGTTTGTTATGACCACGTTGCCATCTTGAATTATTAGCTGATTCCTGATTCGAATTGCCTGATTTAGAAAACTATGCGGGCGACTGATGTAATCATATACAAACACAATTTTTTCTAGAAACTAATGAAACCTTTTTTTTTCAGGTATGGGCGCCCTTATGTACGCGAACTCCTTGAACTCTCTAGTCCCTACACCGTACCCTTCCTACATTTGGCATCCCATTCCCGGTCTGTTTTTACCCTACAGTCCGGCTCAAAGACCCGAATCCCTCAGCCCAGACCAAGCTTCGCCTGTTGATGCTGGATTTACACCAGAAAAAGCTAAGATAGGTAAGCTACTTACAAACTTGAACAGAGTATCTAATATGACACGTTACCTGAAAGATTCTCAATATTTGCGTTTCACATTACATAGGTACCTATCTATGAAAATTTTAGTTTGTGATGTTTCAATGCAATTCCAAGTGTTTGATGGAATTTAGCCAAAAAAATTACATAATTTTTACAATAATCAATCATGAAAATCTTGATTTCCAATGCCACTGGGAAGTAGCAAAAAGATCAGATTTTAATCTTGTGTCAAAAATACTTCGCCGACTTTTTCTTGGCCGATTTCAAAGTAAAACCGAAAAGCCGTTAATCCACCAGCTTACGTTTCAAAAAGTTGATTGTTTTGTGTTGATTTTTGCAGACGAGGATGCCCCTCTCAATTTATCCTTAAAAGGCCGATCAAGGACGCACAGTATATGGTCACCTGGGAGCTTGTGCGAACAAGAAATGAAAAATGTGGTAACGTCGAAACCCGACTCGAATCTTGACACGACCATAATTAGTCCGGTCAAGCTGCTTGACGGCCGATGGAAGTGGGACCACGAAAAAGACTTTCAGGGAAAAATGACCGGCCATACTATCGGACCTAGTGGAGAAAAACAATTTACGGTAAGAATTTTTCAGCAAAACCAAAATCTTACCAAAACAAAGCCAAGAAAATATCTCATATAGAATCCCTTGTTAGGGCCCGGAGTTGACCGATGCCACTTATGTTAGGAACCCGGAGTTTTCGGCTGGTTCCAATGTAGTAATCTCGGATTATTTCTAGGCCTTGTACTCATTATCCGGTATCTCAATAAAGTTAAAAGTAAAACCCGAAATTACTTGAAGGTCTAGTTTATTTTAACTCTGAACGAAACTGATTTTACATAAGTGCGACTGCTGTTCGCTATCGATCTTACAAAACGACTGCCAACTCCAATTCTAAAAACTAAAAAGTAACCTAAAGGACAACTAAGCTTATAATTCTCAGGGAATTCTCGCCATCTAGAATAATAAAATTAGATCTGGGAACATTACTCTATCTTTGGCGGCAAGAACATCCTCCATGGGTTATATTTATTCAAATATATTTACAATAATTTGGGTTCCTGCAATAGAGGTACCGAGTACCGACATACACCTAGAAACATCTTGTCAGGATATTGGTGTTTACAGGGCATTGGTTGTAATAATAATTCCAGCCGGCACATCTTCAAAACCTAAATAAGCAATAAGTCCTAAAGTATCCTATTGATGAGGGACTTTACCAAACAAATAGTGGAATTTGTTAGGGAGGATATGTAGTGAACATAAAATTGTTAATAATAAAATGATGAATTTACTGGTTCACAACACCCTGCTGCTTCACCTATAGATAAAAAAAAACAAAATCATTATTTCCCAAATAAAAATTCATTTGCGCCACTACTGACTGACCAGAGGAAAGAAAATAAAATGCTCACAAGTCGTAAAATATCCGTTAGCAAAGTTTGAACGCGGCCTTTCCATTATTTATAACTCAATAAACGACTGCGGATGGATAATAAAGACCTTTTATAGATTAAAAATCTTTTAAGTCTTCATAGTAAATCTAAGGAATCGATCCGCGGTGCGCTACTTTCCTTGACGGATTTTATTTTAAGTAAGGCTTTGAATAGGAAAGCGATTTGCGCTAATGCCGAGTCAATGTTGTTACAAGATTATAGGATAAATATTTAATCCTGAATCTTTACTGTGGCGTTTAATGATTTTTAAACATATTTAGTTCGAAAGGAAATCGATTGTTGCCTATATTTAAACTAGAAAGATTTTATTGGCATCTCTATTTAGAGCTAGCAATTGCTCTATCTGTTCAACAAATGTCGGAATATTCGTACCTGATATCCAACAATTCAACTGCACTTGGATAAGAAAACTCTGGAATACAATAGCTCCAGAACTTCAATAACTTATAACCAAACAAACTAAAGTTCAACGTATCTTCCTCATGTTGATAATTCTTGTAAAAACTAGTTGGTGGAAATGAAAATAGTTAAACATTGCCCTATAAAACCAAAATGTTTAAAGTACAATATCATCTCCCCAGTCCCCAAAGCTCATCCAGACATTCTGTCTGAAGAGCTATCAACAGCTTAGCAAATCAGGTCGCAACGAAGTCTCTAAATACAAAACTGGTAATTTCTGATTCAAATCCTGGAATGACAGAATGAAGATATTGTATGTATACCTAGAACAAGGAAAATCTGTATGCTCTTAACAGTTTCTTCGTGGGAACATCCAAAGGAAAATGAACCAGGATATCAGCAAATGATGTGATGAGAAACTTAATGTACTATTTTCTGTGTAAAAGTAGATACCTACGTCTTTGCAGCTGTCTCTGTTATTAGGACATTTACCACAACCAGTGTTCATGGAACCTCACTGAAAAATGGTATTTGAGGTAAACGAAATACAACGGACGAAATCATCATCATCACTGTGCATCCAGTTGAGGTGGATGCGCCTTATTTCGTCCGACCATTTTGATGGAGAATGTTTCCGGTTACGATACGCATCATGTCTAGGTTTCCATTCTAGTATTTTCCTAGTCTATCTCACATCTCTGGACTCTGTCTCTGGCAACATGACCTCTGTCTGTCTCTGATGAATATATTCACCATTGATCTCATCATTGCCCTCTGTGCCACTTGGATTCTGTGGGGGCACCTGAGCCTGGGAAATTTTTCGATACCGTGGGAATATCTTTAGATTGGCGGCGCCTTTGATTTGAAATTTCGGGTATTTGACCCAGCCAACCCCAAATTTTTGGAGGTTTTCCCGGAATTCGACTGCAGCTCCTTATCTCATGGTGTCATCTTCAAACCGTAGTTATCGTCCAAATAATTATGGGGCATATTTGAAGACTAATAATTGCAATAACGCAAAAAAAAAACTCCTCCGAGACGTCTGCGCAAGCGTCAACAATGGCGTCGCGACGTCATGATGTTATCGGTGGCGCCATCTAGCGTACATAGTGTGACGTTCGATGTGCCCTTTCTGGTTGGAGTCAATGTTTCTGCTCCATATGTTAGAACTGGAAGCACACATTGGTCAAAGACTTTCCTCTTCAAGCACTTGGAATTATCTGATTCAAAGATATTTCTCAGTTTTCCGTAGGCTGCTCATGTCAATCCTACCTGTTTAATTCTGTGGTCTGGTTATCTATTCCTAATTTAATTTCGTGGCCTTAATATTTATAGGAATCAACTTGTTCAGTTTGCTTGACATACGTTGAAATGGCCAGTACAAGGTTGGTCATAAATTGTGTTTTGGAGAAATTGATTCTAAGGCGAACTCGTGCACAAGAACTTTGGAGGTCCTGAAGAAGCTGACATGTATGATCTACCCTGTTTGTAAATAAGCACTATGTCGTCTGCAAACTTTAGATTGTTTGGCTCAAATTTCAGTCTTCAAACTTTTCACTTGTACCATCGACCAAAGTGTTGTCAACCAATCTTTGAATCTGGGCGTTAAGTGCTTTCTTCTATCTTCCTTTGAGGAGTGGATTGGAGGTTATCAGAACATAAAAGGAGGACACAACACAGGTTGAGAGCTTATTACTGTTGTTTCTGGAATGAAATTTGATGAATATGTTCTCTTGGGGGTGAGATTTTTAGACAAATTAATAAATAATTTTGTGTGGAGGTTCTGGAGAAATGACATGTATGATCTACCTTGTCTGTTAATAAGAACTACGTCGTCTGCAAACTTTAGAATATTTAGATCATTAATGTTTACTCCGATATTTTCTCAATTTTTATTCTTCATAGCGTTTTGTAAAAAAGCAGTGAATAGTTTAGGAGAAAAGGTATCTCCTTATCTAATACCTTTCTCCATGGGAAATTTGTTGCTGTACATTCTGACTGCAGCTGTTGCATTAATTATATATTTTATATTCTGAAGAAGGCTTCTGTACCTATGGTCAATACTGCACTCTTTAAAAGCCTTTAACATATACATAGAGCTATGCTGGCCTGGGTCAAAAGCTTAATCAAAGTCCACAAATATAAATATCAAGAGTTTGTTGTATTCTACAACTTTCTCTATCAAGGATTTTATCACTTGTAGGGGGACATTTGTTCCAAAGCCACTCCTAAATCGGGCTTGATCTAGTGGTTGGTGACAATCTAGCTTAAGTCTTATCCTATTAGTAATTATCCTTATAACAAGCTTATATAAATGAGATAGGTAACAGACTGATAGGCTAAGAGTTTCCATATCCATTCCGAATCATAATGACATTCTTCCATTGTTCTGGTGAACTTTCTCCAAGGAGGCAGGCATCAAAAAGAGTTTTCAGGGCTTTTATGACTCATTTGTTTCCCAGTTTCATTATTTCAGTTATAATGCCATCTGGGGTTCTGTTGTACTTCATGCATTTTATGGCTGTTTCAAAGTTCCTCTGACCCTTGATACAACGGAATACTTATAGGGAAATAAAGAAAAACAACGAAGAAATTATAGAATTGATTAGTCACAGAAGGGAATAAATGCCTTAAATCGTAACTTGTTACCAATAAAACCAAGCTGTTTAAAAATGGAGATTTAAGAAATGGACAAGAATAATATCGAATCAGCTGTGGAAAGCTTCTATCGTGGGACCAGCGAGAAATAAATAATGTCGGTCCCAAAGATTTACCAGATATCGACATATCTGAAAAACAACAAATCATCAGGGTCCTTATTCCACAGGAAAACGAGTGTCCTTTCTTTGTTATTTATATTATCATTTGCATATCATTGAGAAAGATAAAACCCTCGGTCTCCTGGGAGCGGTGCTTAGGCCAGCAGGCAAGTAATAATTAAAGGGGATAGCTGGAAAGTATTCCGAAGCTAATGATATTTTGGCATGTCGTTTGTGGATATTCTGTGGAGAAGAATCTGAGTTTTCGACCTCGAGGTTCCTGTGCTAACTTGGGGGGAAATCGAAATCGGATTTTCGAACATTTTCAGTTTTTTGCTTATAACTTCTAAACGTACTGTACTGAGGTGCTGAGTTGATATGGCATCTTCGATAGTTTTAGAACTGTGTTTCACGTGCGAAGAAAGTTTGGCAGAATGTGACGTAAAAAAAAAACGTAAAAAGCCTGAACATCAATTACTTACTAAGTTACTCGAAGGAGTGGAAAAAATTACAGTCCACGCGGCCTGACAAAAAAATTACAACAACGAGAAATTGATTTTGGATTCCTTGCATCGTTAACGTGACACCCCTACAACTGCCTCCATACCGCGCGTTGGTAGGCCAACATTATCATTTGATTTCAACAAGCGCTTCTTATGGGAAAGAAGATGTTGCTGAAGAGTACAGACAAAAGCATATCAAGGCACCCTATGAAAAGCGTTATGCTATGGTCAAAATGACGCTTCTAGAGGTAGCAAGCAAGATTTTGGGTTTTTGTCCTGTGCAAGACAGCAGGGTGATAAATGTGGACCAAAAATTGAAGACCGTATGAGCATGTTGAATAATGTGGACACATACTTAGTTGCGGTTAAAGCGGAAAACAATTCAGGTGCGGAGTAGACATGTTGTCTGTGGGTGCACGTGAAAGGGACGAGAATGAAAGATGTTTATCCCATGCTTGAAA